TGGCGATAAGTGTGGCGGCACAGGGCCCACCTATGATCTGTGTACATACAGTAGTGCGTATAGCTATATCTTCTCAGTTCAAAGGTTGAATTTTGGCAGTCAAAATATGCCCCTTTGGCCCCCATGAAGCTCCGCCACTGTATGTCTGCACCTTGCAGGTAGTGCAAATGATGATAAACTTCAACCCATCAGCACTTGCCGAACCCACAGCTCTGGGCCATGGCGATACACACGGCCCACCCAAAAATAGGAGCCTATGAGCTGTGTACATACAGTAGTGCGTCGTCTCAGTTCCAAGGTTGAATTTTACGGTGAAAGCTTGAATTTTGGCAGTCAAAATACGCCTCATACATTATTGGGATGGAGGGCTTCAACTAATATAAGATGTTATAGATCACTAAAGTAGTGACCTAAAAAGTCTTATATTCAGAGAGGGAGTATCGATCCGATGAAAAATGATTATCTGATAAATAGTTTTACTTTGGAAGTTGGGTATCCTCCCTGGCCGTAAGGTAGCTCCGACAGTAATTTTCAAAGAACTACATGTTCCCTTTGCAAACTTATAAAGGACTTGTATGCAATTTAGTATGGTAAACTTTCTGGGGTAGCAGGGAGAGAAATGGGGCTTGAGGTCCAGTGTTTGCACCTTGGAGTAAATTACCTACACCTTGCAAGTGGTTGCAGTGATGAGTGATGATAGGTTCTCCCCACCAGCAGGGGTGGGCCCAGTATTAGTGGAAGAGCCATGATAAATATTTGATGGGGTTGGGGTGGAGGTGAGGGACATGCAATCAAAAAACACTGAAGTAGATTAAGAGCCATTTTACTCTTGGAGGCCAGTCGTAGAGACAGCTGCCACTACACCACCTTTAGAAATTTGGGTGGAGAAAAACATCTTCCGTTCACGATCGCCAGAGTACACGCAATGATTGCGAGCGGCAAAGCGTGGTGGAAGCGTCTCTCGCCGCGCCGCCGGCACGAGATCACAAACATCGTCCACGACTGGCAGGCCTGGCGTGTGGAACACATAGAGGCTGGTCTGCCTTCGAGCTTGCCGGAGGAGAGCTTGGAGGACCGGACGATGGAGGAGGCGTCCGACAACGAGCCAGAGCCCCCCCCCTCTCCCGCCAAAGTTGCGGGCTTCGCCTTCGCACAGGCGCAGTACAACGCGGCCATGGCGGAGGACGAGCGGTCGGAGCAGGCAGCGCCACCGCTCTCCGCGTTTCGGATGCTACGGGAGTAGCGGTACAATCTACAGCTCCTCGAGC